AAAATTAATTTTAGAATAAAAATAGGGGGTTGGCGCGCGAAGCGCGCAGGGGGGCCCCCCTAGTATATATATATATTTGTACAACGCATTTTTTGAGGACACTTCTTGGATCCAACGCATACTTTGAAGACTTTTTGATTTTTTGGGGACGTCCTCAAATAAATCAGGGATCTAACGCATAGTTTGGAGACAAAGCCAAAAAACAGTACCAAAGCATATTTTGAGGACATGTATGATTTTTTGTGAATTAACAGATGGCGATATTAATACCTTTTTTGGTTAAAACCGACGTCTCCAAAGTATGCTTTGTATGAATAATGTCCTTTGAATAAAATAGATTAACTGCTTCTTTCAGAGAAATAGTATATAAATAATCTAAGAACCTGCGCAACATAAATACAAAAGGATAATTGATGCGCAGTAGTAAAATACGATTAAAAAATATGCGCACAAGTGTAAATAATATAATAATTACAATGTAATTATGCGCAGTAGTATCTCCTTAATACAAAATATGCGCACTAGTATAATAAATAATAAAAACATGCGCAATAGTTTTTTCTAAGCACAAGACATGCGCACTAGTGCAATATCAAATTAAAACATGCGCAGTAGAGTATTTCAAAAAGAAAAATTGCGCTTGAATCCATTTCAAAGTAAAAAAATGCGTTGTAATTTTTAAATACAACAACCGGCGCTCTCTTACAAGGTAAAGAAATAAGATAAGCAATAGATCATTCCAAACAGAAAATAAATAAATTACTGCATAACAGAATATAACAATGCGCAGTAGAGCTTTCTGAAAAAAATTATATGCGCAATAATATAATACGCAATGTAACTATTCGCAGTATTATCTTTTAAATACAAAATATGCGCACTAATGCAATAAATAAGAAAAACATGCGAAGTAGTTTTTTCTGAACACAAGATATGCGCACTAGTGGAATATCAAATTAAAACATGCTCAGTAATGTATTTCAAAAAGAAAAATTGCGCATGAAATCATTTCAAAGTAAAAATATGCGATGTCCTAACTTTTAAATAGACCACTCCAAACAAAAAATAAAAGGATTATTGCATAACAGAATATAACAATGCGCAATAAAGTTTTCTGAAAAAATTACATGCGCAATTATATTATACGCAATGTAACTATGCGCATAGTATCTCTTAAATTCAAAATAAGCGCACGAGTGCAATAAACAATAAAAACTTAATAAATTGTTGTCAGGTGAGTTTTAAAAAATTCAAGAACAGCGTTAGAGCCTAACACTTAAAGGACGTATACGTGATATATAGTTAGTGGACATAAAACTTAAATTAACAGATTACAGCTTAAAAAATTACTTGTTTAGTAAATAACTTTTTTAATTTATAAACTATAATGCCCAAAACACCATTATGTCAATTTATAGCTTTCTTGCATCAGACATGAAAATTAATGATAAAATTGTAGCCAAAAACTAAAATTACATTCTCAAAAAAATCCATTTCTGACAGAAATAAAAATTATAAATTTTAAATAGTTTTGGTCCGAACTGCAAAATTTTAAACTAAATAAATTGTTTTTAGAAGGGTTGTCGAAAAATTCAAGAACAGCGTTAGAGCCTAACACTTGAAGGACGTAAACGTGATATATAGTTTGGGGACATGAAAATTAAATTAACAGATTAGAGCTTAAAAAATTATTTGTTTAGTAAATAATTTTTTAATTTATAAACTATAATGCCCAAAACACCGTTATGTCAATTTAGAGCTTTCTTGCATTAAACATAAAAATTAATGATAAAATTAAAGCCGAAAACTTAAATTACATTTTATAAAAAATCCATTACTAACAGAAATAAAAAATAAATAAATTTTAAAAAGTTTTGGTCCGAACTGCAAAAGTTGAAACTAAATAAATTGTATTTAGAAGGGTTATAGAAAAATTCAAGAACAGCGTTAGAGCCTATCACTTGAAGGAAGTATACGTGATATATAGTTAGTGGACATGAAACTTAAATTAACAGATTAGAGCTTAAAAAATTATTTGTTTAGTAAATAACTTTTTTAATTTATAAACTATAATGCCCAAAACACCATTATGTCAATTTATAGCTTTCTTGCCTCAGACATCAAAATTAATGATAAAATTATAGCCAAAAGTGAAAATTACATTCTCTAATAAATCCATTTCTGCCAGAAAAAAAGAAATATATAATAAAATAGTTAGTGGACATGAAACTTTAATTAACAGATTAGAGCTTAAAAAATTATTTGTTTACTAAATAGTTTTTTAATTTATAAACTACTAGCTGTCGTACCCGTCTTCGACGGGTTTTAGTTTCTACTAATATATTTGAACAGGTGTCTACCAATTGGGAATTTAATTTGACTGGGAAAAACTAATAATTAGTTACCATTAACTATTTCATTAGCAAAATATTACCATTTGAATCAGTAAATGACTTTTTCTATCAAATACTATTTTCAACTAATTCAGATTTACAGAACAGTATTTGTCAATTTGTAGTACTTTATGCGTTCGTAGTATTTCAATTAATGCATTAATAATTAATACTAATTTTCCACCAGATTTGGGAGTTATGTAGAGTCTAATTCGAACTAATTGTATCGCAAGCAGGCCCCACGTTACGACTGCTAAAATCTAAAATAAGACCTATATTGTAATCTGAAAGTAGGTCTTAAATTTTGACAAATAAAAATATTACATCAATAGAAATTAAAGCAAAAAGCAATTTTTTAAAAATGAATTAATATAATAAAATTTTTTTTAATTAAATAATAAAATTCCCGATTTTTCTAGTCGAATTAAATTCCCGGCTATTTCTCGGGATACCTTTGCGATTAATAGACACTCTGTTAAATGTATTAGTAGAAACTATAACACGTTTTTGATTTCCACATGGGAAATCTACATGGGATCCACTTTTATAAAGGAAACCATATTGATTCCTATGTAAAACCGTATGGTATAATTTTTCCATATCCCTATTAAAAATTTCCACATGGGATTTTACATTTTACCCGTTTTTGCGTAATGCCCGGATAGAATTTTGGAAAGCAACAACATACCCCAAACATTTCTAAAATTCAAGAAGAACAATTTTAATTCATAAATAGGAATTTGTTATTTATTTTCAAAGTCATTTCTAAAACATTTCTTGAATTCAAAAAAAAGAAAATTTTGATTCATAAATCCCAATTTTCCCTAATGGCATCTTAAGGACTTTCTGTGTCCCAGTGCCCGCTGAAGTCTCAGTATTATTGATACTTTTACTGTATACCCTTTATATTAAACATAAATATTTTATATTCTACGTTAAATATGACAATACATACTATGAAATTTTCAAACTTAAAACCTGAAAATATCAATATAGAAATTGTTTGCAAACTCTAACGTTAATTGATTTTAGAAAATTTGTAATCGACATCAAATTCGTGACTCTAAACTCTTTAATAAAATAAATGTAATAAATGTAATTAAAAATTTAAAAACATTAATCGATATCACTACCAACTTAATAAAAAATTAAACAATATTCAACAAAAAAAATTAATTAAAAATTTTGTCGAAAATCAAAAATATGATTTTGGCTTAAAAATTCGGATATATTATTTATATTTCATTTTTATAGTGAAAATTAGTTGTATTTATATTAAAAAATAGCTACAGAAAGTGGCACATAAATTTGACAAAAAATGAAAAAATTGGCATTTTTCTGATTTTTTGAATTTTGTGAAAAAAGCTATAACTTTCGTTCAGCTTAATATTTTTCAATCGGATATGGCTATAAATTTAAGTTAGACTAAGACCAAAGAGACTGTAAAGTTTTGTTTTAATTGGTCAAGTAGTCTTTGTGTTTATCCCGGACAAAATATTGCGTACAGACATACATACATACACACAGACATACATACATACATACATACATATATACATACATAATTTTTTTATTGTAATTTTTGAAATTCGTACTACTCGAATAGAAACACTAAACATGAAATTTCAAATTCTATGCAATGTACAGAAAAAAGTCTGATCTTATTTATGGCTGATTCTAAAAAAATGTCGAAAATGGCTTATCCAAGTTGATCAATTTTTTTTAACTCATTATTGAATTTTTTTTCACAAACCGTATAGTTTATGCCTTATTTGATTTAAATATTATCATGGTCCCTAACTTTTTTGAGTTTAAATTGAATTTTATATTAAAAAAAAATTTATTATTTATTTATTTATTTATTATTATAAAAAATTTTTCTGAAAATGAATAGGTATTAGAGCTGAGCAAAATTCGAACCGAATCGAGTTCAGTTCGGTTTTGGGGCGCCAAAATGTCGAATGTCGAATATTCGACATCCGAACTAGCCTAGTTCGAATGTCGAATTTTCGACATTCGACATCGCCTAGTTCGAATGTCGAATTTTCGACATGCCAATTAGGCTGCATCATGCTTTATATTTCGTGGTTTTTTACTGAAAATACTTCGCAGAATTATTATTTCTAAAGTGAACTTCAAAGTATTGTTTGAATAATAAATAATAATGTTCCTTTCATATTTTGATAGTTCATGGTAAGAATATACTATAACCTTTTCAAAAAATTTTTCCTAAACAAAAAAATTTTACATTAAAATTAAAATATATGTAAATAGAAACTAAAATTCAAGTATGTATATTAAATTTGATTTTAATTTTTAAAACAATTATTTGTAGGAAGGTTAATTAATTGAACTAACTAATTAATAAATTAAATTAAAAATTTATTTTAATCATTGTTCGCATGTATTATTTACAATTTTAACTATTATTTTGTGGAAAAATATAAACTGTTAGTCACACTATCTAATTGAGTTAAGGGCACTAATGTGTTGTAAATTTTCTTTCACATAAATTATTTCTTTCAGAAATTCTGGCCGAAACAAATCTCTTCTTTTAGAAGAATCTATGTAATTGAATTTGAAAGCGTGTTTGATCGTAACAGATGTTCCCGGTATTTGTAAATAAACCTGTGCTAGACATGTTACAAGAGGGTATGTTTTAGAACCTTGAGTTTGCCACCAGGTTAATGGATCTTCATCTAGTTCAATTATTGTAGTATCGGCTATTTATTGACGAAGCTACAGAAAATAAAAAATTGAAGTAAATATTATAAATGAAAAATTCAATACGTTTTAAAGTATGAAAAAACAATTTTTGAAACTTTGCCTACCTGCTGAAGAATGCTAGATATCATATTATTAGAGGTATTGATTTCGTAGTCGCGTTTTCTTCTCTTTAAAAATTCCCACAAACCTTTCTTAGATCCTTTTGCACTCATATCTTCATTCTCTGCAAAAAAATTAATTTTATTATTATTAAATAATTAAACATTCAGATTCAATTTTACTCTAGGGGCAATTTTGTAGTTTGACTTTGACTACTTGACTTAGATGCAACTCTAATTTAACTTTTGACATTTACTTTGACTTCTAAAGTGAAAACCAACGTGAAAGTCAAAGAGTAAGTCAAAATTAAAATGAAACTTGAATCGAAAGACGAAATCAAATTATAAAATCGCAACCCTGGTATACTATTCAATGAGCAAATTTAAAATATTTGATCAAGTGATAAAAATAATCAACATCTTTTAATAATACACGGAAAAAATAAATTTAGCAAATTTTACGAAACTGTTATGGAGTAGCGGATACAGCTTTTTACGAAACTGAGTTTTGTAAAATGTAAGGAATATTTTAGGATAAACTTCAAAAATATTCAGTATAAATTTCCTTACATTTTATAAAACTCAGTTTCGTAAAAAGTTGTATGCGCTACTCCATTACATGTTTTGTAAAATCTGCTAAATTTATTTTTTCCGTGTAACGTAACAAAAGGATTGGTTACTGAATTTATTTTGAATGCTTGTATTTTACCAACAATAGACGACATTGTTTCGCAGCTCTTTTCTCCTGGCAGGATAATTATGCATTCTTGGGACAGATCTCTTAAAATCTGTTCAAGTGATTGTGGATTCAATATTAAAGTTTTATATCTTGGATCTAATAAGGTGGATTTTAAAAACAAGGGCGTTGAATTAAAGTGCATCAATTTATCTTCGATTGATTTTCCAAATGAATTTAGAAACAAATTTGCGGTTGTCGTATTGATTTTTAAATCCGAAGCAATTCCTAGGTCATGTGTTATTTCGTTTAAAACAGGTATAAGATCAGAAAGTAACGCATATTTATCACAATTTATATTTCTGACTGCGTCGTATGCTACTTCTAAGATTACAATTATTTCGTCCATTGTCTCCCAATTTCTTCGAAATATATCCTCTAAATCGTACTGTTTTAATTGTAAAAGAGAACTGCAAATCGGACTTCTCATTGTTTGTAAAGTTTTCAAACTTTTAAACAGAAATATCCAGTTTAATCGACTTTCCTGGAAAATTGAATTGTCGTTTTTATTATATTTATGAAGTAAAATGTATGACAAGTGTAATTTAACGCAGGGTGACTACTATTTTCGTTTAACAAAATTCACGGTTAGTTTCCGGCTTTGTCCAAATTTTTTCTGGTTTTCTTTTCTCATCAAATTTAAATTTGTTTGATTCTTGAGAAGAATTTTTTTCCAGTTTCTAGAAATAATTGAACTCTTTCGACGAATTTAAATAAAATTTTTAAGAATAATTACATTTTTCAAGGAATTCGTTTAAAATTGTATTAAAAATAATTAAAATTCTGCAATATGTTTTACTATTTATGAAAATAATTGAATATATTGCGAAAAATTTTTAAAAATAAAATTAGAATTACGGTAACTAACTTCCTTTGATTATTTTCGAAAAATTTAAAAAAAAATTCTTTAAAAGAAGTTTATTATTTTTAATAGAATGTAAAGAAATTTCAATTATTTCAAAAATTCAATTATCTAGAAACAATAGAAATGAAAAATTTCAAAATTTTCAAAAAACCTTTGCAAAAATTCAATTTTCTAAAAACTTTTAAGTGTGTATCTTTTTTTTAAATTAACTAATAAAAATTTTAATTATTAATTTTCGCACTAAGAAATATGAATACATTTGAATGTGACTCTTTATAAAATTCAATTATTTATCAATTATTAAATTAAAATACTTTAAAAATTCGATTTGTTAAAAGGTTTTTAATGCAATTCTTAAGCAAATTTAATTATTTTCAGTTGAATTTCACAAAATTTCTATTAATTCGATAATTATTTTAAAATTTATTTACATACTATATTTGAATCAGAGACTGATTTTTTACAATCAAATTAATTATTTTTAACTAATTAAAATTTAGAGAACATTATAAATATCTGTAAAAATTGAAATAAATAGCGATTTTTTAAAAACAAATTGAAACAATAAAACTTTTTTTAATTTGGTGAAAAAATTAACGGTTTGGCATAAAATTTTCCCGGTTAGTAGACACCCTGTGTAAGTAACGTACCAAAACATCCATCTCTAATAATTCCTCTCTTTCAACTTGCATGGACAAACAAAATGAATCTAATATCTGTCTCGCATTATCTTCTAAGTAAAATAAGTTGTTAATCTTCTGGTACTGCAAAAGCACAAAATTTAAATTATATAACAAATTTAGTTAACAAATAACATTATAGTATCGGTCAAAAATACCAATCAAATTTTTTAAAACCATTGAAATTTTATATAAAATAATGCCTTACTGAACTGTTGTTTTCTTTATGAAGACAATATGTTTTTAAAAATTGATTTGAGTTTTACTGAAAAGTTTTCATTAACGAATAAGTCGAAAAGTGGATAGACAATACACAGAAAATAAGATGTAACGAATTTTACCCTCGCACACTGAAAAAAAAATTATTTGATTCAAATAACCAATTAATTGACTATTATCAATTAAATATTTACTTGAATCAAATAATATTTATTGGAATCAATTAAATGATATTTGAACCAATAATTTTAGTATTCGAAGCAAATATTATTTAATCGACTCCAGTAAATATATTATTTTTTTCAATTAAATATTTTAATTGATAATAGTCAATTAATCGGTTTTTTGAATCAAATACATTTTTCTTCAGTGCAGTATGACTTACAAATCATTAAAATATATTTTTTATATTTAATTAAAAAAACTTTATTACAAATTATTAAAAATAGAAATTTACACTTTTTTAAATTCACGATTCAATTATTTATTTATGAGTAATTTGTTTTTCAAAAACTTTAAAAATATAAACGTAATTTTAGAAACTTTTTTACAGTATGCAAGGTTATAAAAAAATATGGACTGCTATTTTTGTTCGTTATTGTTTTTTAATATGTTTGAATATACACGGAAAGAAAAGGTCTGGAAGAGATATCCATAAATATATTGTTAAGCAGAATATTGTTGTGTTATCCAATTCAATGGAAGAGACAACTTTCAGAATGGAAGCACATTCCATATTCAATGGATGAGGGAGCCATATTATATTGTTGAATCAAATATGGATGTGACATCCATAGGCATGGTTGGGCTAACAATTCATGCTATTGATTTTCACATATGGCTGCCTCATCCATATAAACTTTGGTTGGGAGATCCATAGTTAGTACAAAATTTCGATACATGTTGCGCGCAATTCATTATCATGGCATCCATTTAAAAATGGTCGTCTCAATTTGTCCGTCGCGTCGGTTTCCTGTCACGTCTATATAATCGCGTTGTGAGTTTATTGTGTATAAATAGTGTTACAATTGTTTATTATTTATTATCGTTATTGTCTATTTGTGTTTATGTAATAGTATATTACGATACTAGGCCAGAAAGTTGGATTTCCTGGCCGGCGTGATATATAAGGCCGAGGAGAAGCCGAGGCTTTATATATCACGTTCGCTAGGGTATCCAAATTTCTGGCCGTGTGTCGTATACAATTTTTCTGTATCCCCAGCCGAAAGTACGTTAGATAATTATTGTTTGAATAATAAAATAGCTCAATAAGTTGCCCGCCCGACTTTTGCAAAGTCGAGGCGAAGCCGAGACTTAGCTGGTCGGGGCGGGCATGAAAAAAAAAGTTATAAGTAAAAAATAATTGGAAGTAAAATTTAAAAAATAGTAAACAAGAAATTTTCTTTTACAAATAAATATTTAATAATTAAAAAATAATAAAAGAAAATAAGAAATTTCATGCATTATTTTTATGCCTGTCAGTTGTTTTCAAAACGTGAGCTCTGTAAGTAACGTGTTTGTGTGGTTGCTATGCTAACATGTACACAGAAAAAAATGCGAATGGTAAAAACAACCACATTTGTGTAGTTAGAAAAAAAGTAGTTAAAACTACCATATTCAGCAGCATTTTAACTACACTTCCTCAGTTAGTGGAACCAAAATGAAGTAGTTGGTTTTATGTAGTTAAAATAACTACTTTACGTAGTTGAAATAACTAACAGATGCTTGTAAATGGCTCAACTATAGTGTAGTAGTAAAAACTATTGTTAAAAATAGTTAATTTTACTATTGTGGTAGCAAAAATAACTATTTTGTATTAGTTGCAAACAAAATGAGACTTACTGTTTTTATACAGTAAATACAACCTCTGAAAGTTGTTACTTTTATGATTTATGTAGTTAAAACAACTATTTCTTACTAGTTGCAGAGAAAGAAAGAAATTTACTGTTTTCATATAGTAAAATCAATTGTTGAAAATAGTTATTTTTACTATTTATGCAGTTGAAAAGATCATTTTTTTCTACAGAGAAAAAACGTGAGTGGTAAAAACATCCACATATGTGCAGTTAAAAAAAATAGATAAAACTACCATATTCAGCAGCATTTCAACTAAACTTCCATAGTTAGTGGAACTAAAATTGAATAGTAGGTTTTATGTAGTTAAAATTACTACTACACGTTATGATTGTAAATAACTCAACAATAGTGCAGTAGTTAAAAGTACTGTTAAAAAAAGTTATTTTCGGAATTTCTGCAGTAGAAATATCCATTTCTTGCTATTTGCAAAATAAATTAAAATTTACTGTTCCAAAGAGTAAAAACAACCGCTGGAGTTTGTTATTTTTGTGTTTAATGTAGTTAAAAGAACCAATTCTTACTAGCTTTTAATAATTTATCTCTATGGTGGTAAGAAACATTTATTTTTATAATTACAAAAGTCATAAAAGTAACAATTTTTATGTTATTTTTACTATATGAAAATAGTAAGTTTAATTTTTTTATAACTAGTAAAAAGTGGATAATTTTACTACAGAAATTCTGAAAATAACTATTTTCAACAGTACTTTTAACTACTGCACTATCGTTGCGTCATTTAAAATCATATGCTGGCTACATTTCAACTAAGTCCTTAAGCTTAAAAAATTAGTTACTGCAACTAAACGGAGTAGTTATTATGACTGAATCTAAGAAGAATGTCCTCAAGTACAATGCCAGTCATCGTAGCGTGCGAGCGTGGTTAGGTGGTTAGGTTATCGGTTTGCGAATGTTAGGGTCGTGCGTTCAATCCCCGGCGTTTGGGGATTTTTCTCTGTTAGGTGTATAAGAATTTAATATATAAATTATATATGAACAAAAATAGGTAAGAGAAAATGTAAAAAAATGGACCTCAATAATAATAAAAAACAAATAAATAATTTCATTTTACTACTTTAAATAGTTAATTTAACTATTTTTTACAGTTGTTACAACTACAATTTGTTACGGGCGCCTATAGGAACTATGAAAATTTAGTTACTACAACTAAATGAAGCAGTTAGTATGACTAACAACAAATAGTTAAGATAACTGTTTTAGTAGTTAAATTTACTGTAAAAATGGTATTTATTACCACATTTTACAGTTAGACTAACTATTCTGTCATAGTTCATTTTACTAAATAATGTTACGGGCGCCTATAGGAACTACAGGAAATAGTAAAAAAGTAGTCAAATTTACCATATTTTTTTTTGTGTGTACGTGTGTTGAAATTCTTGTAACCAATCAGAGCGCTCGTTGGGTCTGTCGAGCCGGCCACAAAAGTCGCTATTCCCGGAGCCAAATCAGA